TTTTCATACTCCTCTTCTAAAAATGAGATTCTCTATCTTCTTTTCTTTTCTCCCACCGAAACACACACTTAGTTCTTAGAGCTTTGGGAGAAGGTGAGACCCCTTTGGCCTTCTCAGGTAGCTTAATGTCACATGAAAGATAGTCATGACCCACTATACACCCACAAATGTGAACTTTAGCCAAACAGCGGATGAGAGGGGAGGAGATGGAGTGGAACATGATGAGGTGGGATTGGAGACATAGCATAATTTGAGGTAGACTGAGCTCAAGTAGGAAAACGTAAACTGAGTAAGATCAAAGGTAGGTTGGGCTGCATTGGCACAGGATAGATAGAGTGAGATAGGTGATGGAATGGAATGGGATAGGATTGAGCGAGATGTGATGTTGGGGATGGGATTGAGAGGGTGGGGTGTGCAGTATTCAGGGGATTGACTGGGATGCAGGGTGAGGTGGGGAGGGAATGTGTTAGAAGACACTGGGGTGGGGTGGGATAAGATGGGGTGGGTGGAGTTGGGATGGAGTGGAATGGAACAATTGGGATATGATGGAGTGGAGGTGAGATGTATTGTGATAGAATGGAATGAGATAGAGGTGAATCAGATTTATTGGGATGGTTTGGGTTGGTTGAGTTGGAACAAGAGACTGGGAGATAAGATGGAGTTATTATATAACCAATTGAATGGGCACCAATTGAGTGGGCATGAGGAAATGGGAAGTGAGGAAGGGCACTGGAAATAGCTGGGCCCGCCTCACAGTGTTGTAGCATCTTCATCTTCCTGAGCAGGACTTCTTGAACGTTGGTCAGTTTGTTTCTCACCTGAATTGTGAAATTTCCAGCAGACATAAAGTCTCCATTAGCCTTTGGTCCCATATAGCATGAATCCTAAAATGCTGGAGGCTCCCTTTTCCTGCCGTAAGGGATCATTCTTCAGAGAGACGCTGGGAGTGCCATGTGGCCACCACCAGGAATCCATCAGAAAACTGTGCTTGGCATAAACCAGGAGCACCAGGGCATCTCCTATCAAGTCCACCATCAGAGAAAGACATTGTGCCTACCCTAGAGCTAGTACAGTGGCTCCACTCACAGAAAGGAAAGCCGAGGATGGAGTAGGGGTTTACCTCCACGGCCCCCTCTGCTGGGGGAGTCTCTTTCCTAGAGACTCTTTTACTTTCCACCTTTTCGTGTCTGCATTGGAAAATTTTAAACTGAATTTGTCTTTCAAGGGATGTCAGTCCCACCCTTGAAAAATCATTATTGTAAGGAACTTTTATGATGCTAAAAATAATGTATGTATAGTTAAATTACTGAGAGCACCAAAATACTCTTAGAAATTTACTTGAGAATCTCCTGTGCCATCTAACACAGAAAATAAGGGCTTATATTGCAACACAAATAGCCTTCCTACCTGCCAATGTCTAATTTATACCAATTAAGTGCAATTATAATCCAGAAACCTCAAAAAATTATGTGTCCATCTTCAAGGTTTTCAAATAGAAAACAGAATAAGTTCTATTATTAAGTAGCTCCATCTATTTATTGATTGAAAGTAAGCGAGTGTGACGGATGTAACTGTAAAGGGAAAAAGCAGAGACACTGAAATTTGAGATACAAGTATATTATGAGAGAATGTGCAGACATTTTGTGCAGAATGATTGATGGCCCTTTCTGAGATGAGTAAGTGTGGTAGAGTCGACTCAGGCCTCGGGAGATTTGTCTTCAGTTGCTGCCTGACCCCACCCCTTTCCCTACCCCAGCCTCAATCTCTCTACCTACCGACCTTCATTGCTTCCTGCATTGCCGTTTCAGGAATGGAGGGAGTTCAGTGATTGGCTGGGACTTGGTGATGTGTGTGGACTTGGCAGTAAGAAGGAGATGACAGTTTAATAGTTTATTTTCAGTTCATGCTAAAATGTTCCTAGCATAAAAACAGACATCTCAATGTTGGCATCCCCTCCTGCCAGGGACCTATGTGGCCCTATCCTCCTGGCTTTATCATATGTGCATTCCTAGAAGGGCTGACCCATAGCAGATCCTCAGCTGGGAGAAAGGCCTTGTTCAGCCTGGGAGTCAGGAATTCAGCCTTCCAGACCTGGCTGTGCCCCTAACCATCTATGTGACCAGAAGCCAATCATTTCATCTTCCTAGGCCTCTATTTTCCCACCTATAAAATGGGGATAATAATACACAGTGTGTCTATGCAATGATGGATTTGGAAGTTCTTTAATCAACAAAATAAAAAGAAGCCAGAGATATTAGAATAAGACCAAAAAAGTATCTAGTTTAAGCCCATCCAGTGGGAGATCCTGCCCAGGGCTTGGGCTTCTTGGCTTTCGAGAGATGGGGAACTCACGACCTCTGCAGACAGCTTGCCAGGCTATTTTTCAGGTCTCAGGGGTGATAGGTGAAGGAGGGTGGGCTTGCTGAGCTTCTTGGCCTCAATCCATTCTTGCCCTCCAGTGGCCTGTGGGACTGCTCCTGAGAACTCAAAAGGGAAGAAACAAGCCATCTCCATCCAGAGCCCATCAGATATCCTGGATGCAGCCTTTTCCCCAACCACCACCCACCCCTGGGCAGCAGCACTCTGAGTTCAGTCTCGGAGAGTTGACTGCTTGGGCTTCGCTCTCACTGACACATTCATCCAGGGTATGAGATCTGAATGAGGCCTTTAACTATAGCAAGAGGAAAATTCCCTGTATTCGAGAACCACTGGGACGCACATCTCCTACCATACTTTGTTCTAAGGAACATGGAAAGAAGACAATGTTACAGGGACAGTTTTCCTGAGTTACATGGAAGGCACAGTTGACGTTTTCTGTTTTCTGCACCCCCACCAAGTCTCAGGTGCATAACATTTGAATTAATCCTACCCTCAGTCCACAAGCACTTTATGATCACCTATCTGTGCGAAGCTCCTCTCTTATTCGCAAAGTTTGCTTCCCTTCATCCCCAATCCTAAAGCTATCCCAATCCCAGTAAGTACTCATTCTGATGTGTTTGATGTATGTCTTCAAATATGCATGGATCCAGGCAGGGCACAGTGGCTCATACCTGTAATCCCAGCACTTTGGGAGGCTGAGGCAGGCGGATCACGAGGTCAGGAGTTTGAGACCAGCCTGATCAAAATGGTGAAACCCCATCTGTACTAAAAATATAAAAATTAGCCGGGCGTGGTGGTGTGCACCTGTAATCCCAGCTACTTAGGAGGCTGAGGCAGGAGAATCACTTGAACCCAGGAGTGGAGGTTGCAGTGAGCTAAGATCGCACCACTGCACTCCAGCCTGGGCGACAGAACAAAACTCCGTCTCAAAAATAAAATAAAATAAAATAACATAAAAAAAGCATGGATCCTTATAAAATATATAGGGTTGTTTGTATGTATATGTATTTTTTATTTCTATAAGTGATATTGAAGTATAAATTTCATCTGCTTTCTTTATTTACTCAATAACATATTTTGCATATCTCGCCATACTCATTGAGTGTACCTAGTCAGTGGTTTCTAACTGCTGCATTGCATTACGAGTTATACATCCATCACATTTTACGTATCTGTTCCCCTGAGGCTAGCCCTCTAGCTTATCAGCAACTCCCCCGTACTCCACCACTCAAAGTTCTGAAGAACATCCTTGTACATTCCCTCTTGGGACCCTGTGTGAGAATAGTTCTGGACTATACGAAGGAGGATTTGGTACCTGGGTTAATGTGTTAATTTTTCATGTTCTGCCATGGTGTTTTCCAGAGCACCATGGAAATGGTGTGCCAAGTCACATTTCCACTAAGAGTGCCCAAGAGTTTCTGTCTTCCCACGTCCTCATGAGTACCTAATATTAGCCACCTGTCCAATTTTGCCATTTTTAGGAATGTAAAGTGCCATCTCATTGTATTAATTTACACTTTGATTACTAGTAAGTCTGAACCTCTCTTACAGGCTTGTTAGCTGTTTGAACTTCTCTTTTTCTGAATTACCTATTTATATTCTTTGCCCATTTAAAAATTGGATTTCTTATCTTAGAAATCTTTTGGTTGATTTGTAGAAGTTTTGTTTATAGTCTAGGTGTTGCCCTTTGTTAATTTTAGAAGTTACAACTAGCTTCTTCTAGTCTTTTATCCATCTATTTGGCATATGCCAGCTTTCTTTGGACACAAATGCTTCGTTTTGATATAGTCAGATCCATCAGTGTTTTGGGGGAGGTAGAGATTGAGATATGAGGGCACTGATGAGCTAGAGGGCAGGGTGGGGTCCCATGGGACCTGCTGTCTGTGTGGAGGACTCTGAGGAGTCCTCGACTCTTCCTGTCCATCCTGGGCCCCCACATTCTACAGGAGGTTTCTCTTCTGGCTCAAGGCCCTGTGTTTCCTGAAGGCCCCAGTTAAAGTACAATTTAATGGATGGATGCTATACCTAGATTGGGTAGGAGGATTACTCAGTCCTTCAACAGGCATTTATTGAGTGCCTCTGTGTGCCTGAGCTCTCAGCTGCCTTGGGGACATGGGCAAGTTTCAGCGCTGAGTGTGCATAAGAGAGGCAGCAACACACAGACTCAGAGCAGCATTACTCACAACAGCCAAATGGCGGAAGCAACCCATGTGTCCATGTGCGGATGAGTGGATAAACAAAATGTGGTATATCCATATGATGGAGTATCTCTCAGCTTTAAAAAGGAAGGAAATTCTGACACCTGCTACAGCATGGCTGAACCTTGAGGACATCATGCTAAGTGAAAGAAACCAGTTACAGGCCAGGTGCACTGGCTCATACCTATAATCCCAGCACTTTGGGAGGCCTAGGCAGGTGGATCGCTTCAGGCCAGGAGTTCAAGACCAGCCTGGCCAACATGGTGTAACCCTGTGTCTACTAAAAATACAAAAATCAGCCGGGCATACTGGTGCATGCCTGTAGTCCCAGCTACTGAGGAGGCTGAGTCACAAGAATCACTTGAACCGGGGGGGTGGAGGTTGCAGTGAGCCGAGATCGCGCCACTGCATTCCAGCCTGGGTGACAGAGCGAGCGTCTATCTCCAAAAAAAGAAAAAAGAAAAAAGAAAGGAGCCAGTTACAAAAGGGCAAATAAATACCTACCATATGCTTCTACTGATGTGTGAGGTATTTAGTGCAGACAAATTCATAGAGACAGAAAATAGAATGTTTGTTGCCAGGGGCTGGGGAGGGAGAGATGGGGACTTAATCATTTAATGGGCAGTGACTTTCAGTTTTGCAAGATGGAGAGAGTTCTGTGGATGGATGGTGGTGATGTTAGCACAACAGCATGAATGGACTTAATGCCACTACATTATATACTTCTAAATGGTTAAGATAGCACATCTTATGTTATATGTATTTTACCACAATTTTTTTTTAAAAAAGAGGGACAGCTCTTTAGACACAAAGGGTCAAGGAAAGCTCCCAGAGAAGGATGTTCAAGCTGAGACCTGCCGGATCAACAGGAGTGAGCAGGTGAAGAGAGGAGCAGGAAACGGCTTGCGACAGTGCAGGTTCATCTGCATGGGCTCCTGGTTGAGTGAGAGTGGGTTGTTCCAGGTCTAGAAGAAGGTCTGCTCACCAAAGAAAGGCACTGAGAAGTCTGGAAGGTTTGGAGAAGGAGGGTGGCCAGATGGCTTGGCTGGCAGCCACAGGTCTCTGAAAAAACACAATGAGGGTAGGATGCTACTGGGGAAGGCCGGTCTTGGTGAGGGTGCCTGGAGCCCCATATCAGCAAGGAGGGGCTGAGGGGATCCTCTTTCTTCCACGAGTCCTCTACCCGGTGCCCCAGCCTCCCAGGGAGGGTAAACAGCTAAGTGAACAGCCAAAAGTACATGAAACCCATTCCATGAATCATGGATCATAAGTTAAGGTTGTGTTCATCGTGCCTCCGTGAGAATATCACAAAACTTCCATCCAGAAAGAAAATAGGCCAAGTGTGGTGGCTCACGCCTCTCATCCCAGCAGTTTGGAAGGCTGAGGTGGGAGGATTGTTTGAGGCCAGGAGTTTGAGACCCGCCTAAGTGACAAAAAGTGAGACCTCTTCTGTATATAAATAAATAAATAAATAAATAAATAAATAAATAAATAAATAATTAGCTGGGTATAGTGGCATGTGTCTGTAGTCCTAGCTACTCGAGAGGCTGAGGCCGGGGGATGGCTTGAGCCCAGGACTTGGAGGCTGCAGTGAGCTATGATTGTGCCACTATACTCCAGCCTGGGTGACAGAATTAGAAGACCCTGTCTCTCTTAAAAACGTGACTGAAAGAAAGGAAGAGAGAAAGGTGGGGGGAGGGAGGGGGGAAGGAAGGAAGGGAGGGAAGAAAGGAGAAATAAAAGGAAAATAGAAAGTCTACCTGCTTGGGCTCAGTTAGCAAGTCCTTTCCAGGTGCTGTCTGTGGGGAGACCTGCCATATTCTACCTTGTCCAGGCCATGTGTGCCTGTCAACTTTTTGTTCCTTCTGCCTCTCTCCTTTTCTCTCCCTTCTCTGCCAATCTCCTCCACTTATGTCTTTTCGTTTCCTTTCCTGTCCATCCTCTTCCCCAGTGCTGCTACTTCCCAGGAAACCAGGACTCCTCCTCATTGTGAGTCATCCTCCTCCCGATCCTCAGCCTTGCCAGCTGTGAGAGCCTATTCCTGACCTTTGACCTTGCTGCCACCACCCTCACCCCATCCAGGACCCTCCCCTCTGTGGCCTTTTCTTTAGCCAGGCTTCAACCCCGTACCTCTGTCAACAAGGTGGCTTTTTAAGGCCTTTGGCTGCTCCTGTCTGCCCAGGAGCTTGGGGCTGGGTTGTGGAACACTCACTGAGTACCTAGTACAGTGGCCCTGGGTTGGGGGTCATGGGCACAAATACCTTTTAAAACCAAGTTCCTCCCCCCAAGGACCGTTATAAGCTACTAAAGGCCAAAGGAGCTCCAAGCACAGCGGAGGGGGAGAGGGGAAGAAGGAAGACTTCGTTCAGAAGGTGCCAGCGGGCTCTTCAAGAGTGAGCAGGCATTCAGTTGAAGGAGGGCAATTTGCAGGTTGAATATCTTAGAGGGAGCAGCTAGACAAAGGCTTAACGCAGCAGGCTGTGCTTGGGAGGTGTCAAGTTTGCGTCCCCCCTTTATCAGCATCATAGTCTTCTTTGTGGAAGCTGTCCCTTAGTTTTTATTTTTATCTTTTTCATAGGCAGAGTCTTGATCTGTCACCCAGGCTGGAGTGCAGTGGTGTGATCATGGCTCAATGTAACCTCGACCTCATGGGCTCAAGTGATCCTCCCGCTTCAGCCTCCTGAGTAGCTGGGGCTATAGGCACATGCCACCACACTTGGCTATTTTTTTTTTTTCTAAATTTTTTTGTAGAGATGGGGGTCTTGCTATGTTGCCCAGGCTAGTCTTGCACTCCTGACCTCAAGTAATCTTCCCCGTTCAGCCTCCCAAAATGCCAGGATTACAAGCGTGAGCTGCAGTCCCTGGCTGGCTGTCCCTTGTTGAACACTCAGGCCCTATGCTTAGTGAGAGCTGCTCATTCCTCCCTTACGCCTTACAAAACTCCTAAGAATTCTATCATTTTGCAGTTGAGGAAACTGAGGTTTAAGAAATTAAATTACTTGCTAAGACTACACAACTAGGATGGGGGAGAGCCTGGATTTAAACCTAGTCTGATTCTACAGCCCATAGGCTTAACCACTATACAGGTTTCCCAGTTAAAAATGTAGATTCTGGCCAGGTGCAGTGGCTCACGTCTGTAATCCCAGCACTTTGAGAGGCTGAAGTGGGAGGCTTGCTTGAGGCCAGTAGTTCAAGACCAACCTGGGCAGCATAGTAATACCCTGTCTCTACAAAAAATAAAAATATTAGCTGGGCGTGGTGGCAGCACACGCCTGTAGTCCCAGCAAGTCGAGAGGCTGAGGCAAGTGGATTGCTTGAGCCCAGGAGGTTAAGGCTGCAGTGAGCCATGATTGCACCACTGCACTCTAGCCTGGGTGACAGAGCAAGACCCTGTCTCAAAAAAAAAAAAAAAAAAAAAGTAGGTTTCCAGGTCTTCCTCTGATTTTCTGAATCAGAGGATCTGAGAGCAGGGTGCAGGGATCTGCGTCTTTAGTGAGTTCTTCCTGCTCACCTTCTGATGACCCTGGTCTTAACCCCACTCAGGAATGACTAGAAGAAGGGCTCAGGTCTTGGGTGACTTTGAGCAAAGGCTCTGCCTCCACAAGTCAGCCCACACCTGGGCTGTCTTTGCAGCACCACCTTCCCCTCCTTCTGTCCCTCCTTTATAATTAGCCCTGGCGCTGATGGCGTCAGGGCCTGTTCCCAGGGAGTGTGGCAGCCCAGAGGTGGTCACCAGGGTGACCAGATTTGTGTTGATGAGATTAGGCAGCCCCCTGGAAGAGCCTGGGAAGGCACCAGCCCCAAAGGCACGCATTAGCATTCCTAAACTGCTTAATACACTTCACAAAAGGCCTGTTGGTGAGGGTTGGCCTGACAGCTTGGAGCTCCTGAATCACTAAGTCTTTCCTCCAGCCCTGGATTTGTTAGGTGAGAAATCAGGACACTCAGGGGAGTCTTATCCTCAACTTCTTCCGTGTACTAATTCCCATTATTCTAGATTTAATACTCTCTGAAGAGCAGACACGCAGCACTGAAATGCCATTTTCTTCGGGCCTGTTGGTGGGGAGCAGCTGGCATTTCAGGATGAGGCATGGCAGGCAGGCTGAGGTGAGGTCAGCCAGCCAGGAGATGAGGAAGCTACAGAGGGTGGGGTTGAGGAGGCCAAGGTCCAGCCTTCGCTTTGTCCCTGGTTGGAACAGGACCTCGGACCCAGGGGAGGGAGCAAGCAGGGTAGAATAGCCCTAGCTCGGTGAACGGGTATGTAGAGAGTCTGTGGTCCCAGTGAGGACCCAAGGGGCTCAGCAGGGAAACTGAGGCAAATGGCCAGTTATGCAAATAGGACCGTGAAGGTGGGAAGCACAGTAACACTGGGAGGCCCAGAGATGGCATTGATTCATTTATTCAGCCATTCCTGGGGTTTCATTCATTCCTTGGGTTTCAGGAAGTGAAGTAGGGACTACTAAATAAACGCTCGAGGAGGGCAAAGGTTTCGTGACCAGATGAGCGTGGGAAACACTAGACCCTTGGCTTCTGAGGTATGGTTCAAGGCCTTGCCAGGAAGCTTTTTAGAAATGTAGCCTCTTGGATCCCATCCCCCACCTACTGAACCTACATTTTAACAAGATCCCCAGGTCAATTCCTGTGCCTGTGAGAGTCTGAGAAGAACTAGGTAGTGCATTCTCTGAGCACAAACATTAGAATAAGGCCAACCCCGGGCAAATCCTGGTCCTAGTTCATTCTTGGCCTCAGTCGTCACATTAGTACAATGGGGCAAAAATCCTGACTTCAAAGTCATGCTTGTAAAGGTCCATGCTTGCAGCGTGCCTGGCTCAGAGCATGCAGCTCTCCTACCCCTTTGTCCTGATGAGTCTATGCCCCACTGAAGGCGGGGTTTGGCCCTTTTGTTCTCTGCTGTGTCCACAGCATGTGGCACAGTACCTGCAGCATGGTGGATGCTCAGTAAATATTGTGAATGAATGAATGAATGAATGCTCATCAAGTGGTTGTCAAATCAAACTGAACATCCTGGAGACTGCTTTTGGGAGCAGCAAAGATGCAATTTTCCTTTTTATTTTCTGCCGCTGCACCAAATTACGGCAGATTTTTCAGAGTGAAGGATTGCTGAGAGGCTGAGCAAGGGACTGGTAGAGGTTTTTGATGCAGAGCAATGAGATAGTTGCTCTGTGTCTGCCTGTGTTTCAGGAAAATTCTGTTGTTATTGAAATCTTTAGCTTGAAAGCCGTTGTTAAAATTTTAGGAAATGTTAGCCATTAACACCTTAGTAAGAATAAGCCAATTCGTCCAGAAAGAGCAGGATCAGGTAAGGTCGTAAGGGGGTAGACCTCTGTGGATCTGGACCCTCCCAGTGTCCCTGGGCCTCAGTGAGATTTTGAACCTAGAAGTTCGTCTTACCCAATGCTGTGCCTCTCTTTACTCTTGCTCCAGCCCTTGTGGGCCCCTCCCTCTCAACTCAGTCCCTAGAGTGTCCTGCCTCTGGCTCTGGACCACAGGCTCTGTCCTGGGGCCATTCTCATCTCTGTGGCAGCCTCACCCGCTCACTCTCTTGAACAACCTTGTGTCCTACTTCACAGAAAAGTTGACACTAAAGGAAACAGCTGTGTGAGACTTGCTGCTGAATTTGTGCAGGGAAGCGCTGAGGACACCATACCCTGTGTTATGCAGGGACGTCACTGCCATAATTGGCATCCCTGTGCCCCATTTCTCTAACTTCTCCCTCCCCTCTGTTTCTTTCCCATTAGCCCATGCACACACTTTCTTTGTGTGTTAATAATACACTAAAAAACAGCCCCTCCCTGACTGTGCACCCGCTTTTGGCTGTCACCCCGTCTCTCTCCTTTCCTCCCCAGCCATGCTTCCTGAGATGATGTCTGCCAACTCATTTCTCAGTGCCTGTTACCTGGCTTACACTTTCCTCAATCCAGGGGAAGTGCTCCAGCCCAGGGCACCACATGACTTCCTGTTTACTAAATGCAAGCATCTCTCCTGGCTCCTAGACCTTCCACAGTCTGGCCACAGCCAAGCTTCTTGACCTTCTGACCATCCTCCTCCCTCCCCTCCCCATCTTCAGCGTCTGACACTGCTCATCACTCCTTCCTACTTAACATTTGCTTTAATATTGGAGCTTCCAGTATTTGGCCTTGACCTTCTCTTTTTATTCTTTATTTCTTTTTCTTTTTTTTTTTTTTTGAGACAGAGTCTCACTCTGTTGCCTAGGCTGGAGTGCAGTGGCACGATCTTGGCTCACTGCAAGCTCCACTTCCTGGATTGACGCCATTCTTCTGCCTCAGCCTCCTGAGTAGCTGGGACTACAGGCACCTGCCACCACGCCCGGCTAATTTTTTTTTGTATTTTTAGTAGACGTGGGGTTTCACCATGTTAGCCAGGATGGTCTCGATCTTCTGACCTCGTGATCCGCCCACCTCGGCCTCCCAAAGTGAGGGGATTACAGGCATGAGCGACCGCACCTGGCCTTATTCTTTATTTCATTCGCTCCTATGGTTTTCATGCCACTGTCGAAATGCTGAGAATCTCCATACTTAGGTCTCTGATGAAGACCTTGCTCCTGAACTCTGGACCCGCATAACCCCCCATTCTGCACACTGAATTCTTCATTCCTGCTGTCCCCTATATGACTCTTTCCCACCCCCAGAAACTTTACCATCCCAAACTTTTGTGGCCCACCTCTATGAATTGCTTCATGCATCTTCACAGTCATGCGTCTTCCTAAGCCAGAAACCTGGGACTCATCCTGGGATTCCACCCCTCTCTGCTCCCTTTCACTAACCACATCTTACGGATTTTACTTCTCAAATAATTCTCAAGCATTTTTCTGCATCTTTGCTGGTGGCTTGAAACTCACCCCTTTTCTCCTGAACAGTTGGAACATAGCACTCTTGCAACTGCAGTGGCAGGGCTATTGGCCTCCCACATCTGTCCTCGCTTCTTCCCATAGGTGGTTCATGCTTATGTCAGACAAAGGGAATGAGTTTACTCTCTAGAATGGAAGAGGAGGGGCAAGACAAAGGTCAATGAGAAGTTGGTACCTCTTGAATAACTGGCAAAGAGTTTGAAGTTTTGGGTTAAGAGTGACTTTGGAAGGTGCTTAAACTGATATGCCACTAACACCTGCTCCCTGCTGGGGCTCTGATGAGTAGGGTAAGGACCTAGAATAATGGTCAAAGGGAAAAGTACTGATTCATTTATTAATAATAGCCAGGTATGTGCCAGATACCCCTCAAGACACAGGTCCTGAGCCGGGCTCTGGTGGTACATTCCTGTAATCCTGTGACTCGAGAGGCTGGGGTAGGAGATTCACTTGAGCCCAGGAGTGATCATGCCATTGCATTCCAGCGTGGGTGACAGAGTGAGACCCTGACTCTAAACAAACACAAATCATTGGTCTTTGGTGTGTCATGTTGGAGAACATGGCTTGACCTGCTGAGGGTGAATGGGGCTTTCCACCTCCTTTCACCATGAATCTAAATCTTGAGAATGGAGCACTCAGGACATCTGCAGAGTTAGGGCTGGGATTGTGCCTCTCAAGAAGCCTCAGTGTCCACTTTCCCAGCCAGCTCTCAGCACGAGAATGACAGAGGGCTTGTTCTACTCATCAGTTTCAGGTAGAACAGGGGGCGTCTGGTGCCTTGGGAGTCCTCTCTAGCCTGGGTAGAAAGGACGTCCCCTCTCCTCTGTGTGCTGAGACTGCCATGGGAAGGTGACAGGACTCCTAAATGCCTCCCCCTCTCTTGACACAACCTAACATTGTTATGGCGAGGGATGTTCTCCCATTCTCCGAGTTTCTGCTAAGAGTCTTGTGTTTCAAGGCACTATTTCTACCAGGCTGCACTCATTAAGAAGGACATGGATTCATTTCCCCATTTCTATTCCTGTGTTTTCAGGTCTGCTGGCACAGATCAGCTCTCCCCAGATCCCACCTACCCTACAAAAATTACACTGGGAGATGCTGCCAAGGGGCAGGGAGGAGGTTCATTAGCATTCTCAGCTACATTCAGAGCCACCCCTCCAGGCAGCAAGAGGGTAAAGCCATGGCCAAGTGAGGAGGCGCCACTCAAAGAAGCAGGCATGCAGCCCTCCTACCTTTCTGCTGTGCTGGTACAGAACCTCAGCCCCTCCCAACTTCGTACGGCCTCGACTTTCCTTTATCCCCCATATGTGATCTGAGTTGAGGCCATGAGTTATACACTTTCCTAACTTGGGTGGTTCTGTTCTTTGGCCCTGGGAAAAGGCATCTTCTTAGGACCTCGTTCTTATTCTCTTTGTCTAAGATTGAGGCAACCCTCATTCATCCCCCAAATGCACCTCATTTCAATTTCCTCTTTCAAAGGAGCAGGCATCCTTGCCAAGGGGCTAAAGTTTCTCATGCAGTCAAGCAGAGGGGTTGGGGAACCACCATCCCTTAACTGGCAAGCCTCTGGGGTCCCCCAAGGGCCATAGCTTGGTCTTACCAATCAGAGTGGACAAAGGGCAGTGTGACCTCACTGACTGGGAGTAGTTCCAGCCCAAAGCAGACTTGGCATTTATTTGGCTTGTGCATTTTGATGGCGGATAAATGCGGTTTCCGTTAGGCTCTTTGAGATATTGAAAATAGCTCACAAACTCTGATTACTGCCTTTGAAGACCCACAGGGGTCTGGGAACCCCAGGCAGGGAAGACCATTCTTGCCCAGTTTCTCCTCTACACCCTCAACACCCCATTCCTTTCTTCCCTTCTCAAGTTTGGAACAAACTGGGTAAAAAACACAAGAGGAGTCAAATGGAGAGATCAAAATGTTAGCTTCATTACCTTACCGATAAAGTTGATTGGAGGACGCGGCTTTGGATATGTGGCAAAATTGTCTTGTTAATACATCACTCTTGAACTGAAGAAGTTACCCACTCATTCACCAGCAAAGGAAATAGCCTCAGGCTTCCCTCACAGGGGCAAGGCCTGCTGGATAAGTTAAGGAGGTGCAAAGGTGGGTTAGGGCTGAGCTAAGTATGCCAAGTTATTTCCCTACAAATGCGCTTTGGACAAGTCACTCTTCCTCCAGGATAGGGAGAGAGTTAGGGGTCAGAGAGAGACTGGAAAAATGTTTGTCACTGGTACTTGGTCCTCTGGAGCATGGACTGAGAATTCTTTCCCCTCTGTGGAGACAAGAGTAGGATGAACATGTTCTCTCCTAACACTGCCCAGTGAATCTGGACCTGAGCTGGTTGGCACCGCCTGCAGCTGGGGATGACTGGGGCAGGCGGAACCTGTCCCACCCAGTCAAGAGGAATGGTAGGAGCCCCACCCACCTTGGACTCAGCTGTAAATACCAGACAGCCTTGGAGGTGTCTCAAAGCTGTTATCCAGAATGAGAGGAAATGTTGACTAAGACATTGATCATCTGGCCCGCTTATCTCTGTGGCGTATTTAAATAAGGAAATAAATTGTTCATTTTTCTTTACCCTTCATTGTCCCCTGGAAGAGTAAATGGAGAATATATTTCAACTAGGTGAATTGTTAGGAAATGGGACCACGGTTTAAAATGCATCAGCTCTGGAGTCAGACCTGATTCTCCTTGGTTAACTCCTTGATAGAAACTGATGTCAGATTAGGGCCAGGCATCACACATTTGCTTTGCATACGAGGGACCAAAATTGACTGGAATAACAGGTCCGAGGCAAGAGAGACAGGCTGGAGATGACAGAGACAGTTACTGGCGTAAGGCAGTAGCAACGCCAAGACTTTCCCCCTCCTTCCTTCCTTCTTTTTTTCTTCCATCCGTGTATCTGTTTAACCAAGTTGTATTGAGCTACCACCTTATGCCAGATACTATGCTAGGTTCTGGGATATAGAGTTTGATGTCATGCGTGGGATCTATCCTTTGGCCCCCATCTCCCTAAACTTTCAGTCTTTCTAATATATACCTGCGGAGTAGACAGATAATTACACAGATAATTTAAATGCAATGTGGTGAACATCACAATAGAGTTTAAATGGGGCAAGGAGAGGGGTTATGGGAGCACAGAGAAAGGTCAGGCATCCAGCCAGCAGCTATCAGGGATGACTTCCTGAAGGAGGCAATGTTAAACGAGACTTGGAGGTCCAGGGGACAGTTAGTGTAGAAAAGACCGAAAAGAGTCAGTCGTAGCTTTTTCACCTGGTAAAGCTATTATTGTTAACGCCCTGGGAGGCTGCTGCTCTGGGTGGACAGGCACTGGGACCCATGAGGTGCCAGTGTGATTCTGACTCTGATTATGTTGAACACGTTGCTGTACCCAGGCACTGTGCTAGATTTTTATATGATTATCATATTCCGTGGGCTCCAGACCCCACTGAAGGTGGGTAGTATAGTGATTCTCATTTTATAGACGTAGTCTGAGATTTGGTGGAATAAGATGGCTTGCCCGAAGATCACACAGCAGGTCAAGGATGGAGCTGGGACTGTTGTTACCACATAGCAGCATCCACATGGAATTTCTTAATCGTGTTTTTACAGCTGTTTCCACACAGCACACAATGTGGTAGCCCTAGATAGAGTCCAGCAGTGGCACAAATCACAAACCATTTCAATAGTAAAGTACTGATAATATCATCTTCATGTATGGAGTGCCTACTGTGAGCCTCTGTGCCAAGCATTTTATATACACCATCTAAAATAAGCCTTAAAACAGGCCCGTAAGATAGATGGCATTGTTATTCTCATCTTGCAGATGGGCAGACCAAGGCTCAGTCATGTGAAGTCATGTCACACAGAGTCACACATGGTTCGTAAATGTTGGAGTTACATCCAGGGCTGCATGATTCCAAAGCCCACACTGCTGGGCAGAAGACTATTTCATTCCTGATACAATTTCACACGAGAAGATGGAGTGAGGGGGCCATTCTCCTCTTCCATCACCCCCTGCCACTTTCCAGACCTTCGTTTTCTCATCTCTGTAAAGGAGACAGCCTTCTGCCTGCCTCGAACAAAGATGGTGACGGGATCACCAGGGCTTTGCAAAGGCCACTTCCGCTGGGCCTGTAAGATGCTTGCAGCTGAATTTCAGGACTTGTGTCTCCTGGGGCACCAGGTGGCTTCTGAAAGGAGACTGAGCGAGCAGAGAAGAGCCGATCTTGGGCCTCGGCTCCAAGGACAAGTTGTCTGATTTGATCCTGCAGACCCTTCATCTCTGGATGAGTGTATCCCCATTTGCATGTAGTTATTAGATGTGTAAAGATAACCTATTTGGAGGCTGAGGGGGCTGCCAGGACAGGATGACCCACCTCTTCCCCAAAGGCCATGGCAGCAAAAGAATGGCTCAGAGAAGCTGCTTAGGGACACTTCATGACTCACACACTCAGCAAACATGTATGGGGTGGGCCCTGTACAGTGTCACAAAGAGGGAAGACAGCATCCCTGCCTTAAGGGGCTCACATTTCTATGAGGGGGGCACATCACAGCAGTCACCGTGCAACGTGGTGCCCAGAAACCTGGTGGTCACCCTTAATACTTCTTTCTCCCTTTCCTTCTCTCCCCACATCAAGCCATGAGCAAATCCTGTTGGCTCCACCTTCAAAATAAATCCAGGATCCCAGCCCCTGGTGCCACCCCCATCACACCCCGGGGTCTGAGCCATCTTCTTTTGCCTGGACCCTTCCCTGGTTTCCCTCCTTGCATTCTCATCTCTTTCCATTTTCCTCCAACCTGGCAGCTGGAGAGCTTTGATCATGGTTAGGTAGATCATTCATTCCCCTGCCATCATTCAGAAATAAGTCAAGGTCCTTTCCTTGTGCTCATCCCTCATTTTCTTCCTGATCGCATCCCCCTAAGACTTGCTCCTGCTTACTCTGCTCCGGCCAGCGGCTTCTCTGCTGTTCCTCAGACACACTGGGTGGTGGGGCATGCATGCAAATAGATTTGGGGCTTGCCATCCCCTGGGTAGCCACAAGGCCCAGCCATCACTTCAATAAATTCTTGTTCCAACATCACCTCCTTGGAGAGGTTTCCTCAACCCCCTCATCCACAGTAATCCCTTCCTTCGCTTACCCTGCTCTGACTTCCTTCATAGTCCTTAGAACCACCCAACATAGGATATATGCATTTTAAAACATTTACTGACTTCTCAAGCAAATCCCTTGAGATCAAGGAGCTTGTCTATCTTGTTCTCTGTGGTATACCCAACTCCTAGAACAGTGTCTTACCCATAGTAGGGGCTCAATGAATATTTATGGGATGTTGAATGAATGAATACAGAGGGAGAACCAAGACATGAAAATCCAGTAGATGGAGTTAATAACTCCAGTGTATGGGGGTGGGTGGGGGGTACCGGTGGGTTCACTGTTGGGTGATGTGACATTTGAGATGGGACTTAAAAGGTGGAGCAGGCCATTTTCAGGGGAAGAAAGGAGTGGGATGTATCCCAGGAAGAGCCTCCAAACCTCAAAGGGCCCTATATTCACAGGAGGAAATGAGAAGTTCTGTGTGTTCGAGTGCTCCTTGTGTGTGTGTGGTGGCTGGGGCTGCAGGAAGTGAGGCTGGAGAGGGGACAGGTTGTAGAGGAGGGAAAGGGTGTGGCTGTTCAGTGGGAGGTGATTATGGGCCTGGTCTCTGCAGCCAGCCCAGCTGGGTTCAAATCCCAGCCCCGTGTCAAAAACGTATAAGTCACCCTTGGAGGTGGCTATGAAATCTTTGCTTAGGACCTCAGAGAAAAGTGTTGTTCTCTGTTCTATATTCTCAGAGGCATAGATTGGAGATTGGGAGAGACCGAGGCTTAAATCCTGGCCCTGCTTGGTACTAGCCTGTGTAAGGGGCATAGTAATCTCTTTAGGCCTCAGTTCCCCATCTCTAAAACAGGAACAGTAGTGCCTCATTCACAGAGCCTTTGTAACAATGCAATGAGATGATATACATGATGCATTTACTTAGGCCTGGCCTGGTACTCCCTCATGGTTGCCAAGGTGATGGGGCCTGCTGAACACAGTGTGATCCGAGGCATTGGGAGAACACTTGCCTTTAAGCTCTCGGTGGGGCCGCAGGTGTTCTCTAGACATTTGCCAGGCCTTGTTTGCAAGTGGCGGTGCCTTTGCTCAGAGAGCCTGCATTTCAGCCTGCTGTCCCCTTCAAGCTCACAGAGGGCCATGCTGTCTTCTGCCGCTGGGTTGTTTTTTTTTTTTTTTTTTTTTTTTTTCACGTGCCAATCCCTCTGTCTGGAGTATTCTCTTCCCCTTTCACTGCATTAACCATGGCTCAAGTTTCACTTCCTCAGAGAAGGCCCCCTGCACCCCAGTCTAAATCATTCTCATAGAATTGTGTGTCTTGCCCTTGGATAACTTATCTCAGTTGATCATGATACATTGATCAAAGCCATTAATTTATTATTATCAAGCTTGCTCTCTAGACTGGAAGCTTTAGGAGGTTAGGGACTTTGCCTGGCTTTGCTTATTATCCTACCTCTGGACCACGGATGGTCCCTGG